AAAGGTTTTATCCTTCTTTACCTTTACAAACATTCTCCTAACTCAAAGTATCTCCTTTATACAAGATTAAATTGAGTCCACTGGCACGAGAATCGCTGAAACTGTCAACAATTTGAAATTTTTTTTCATATACCCCTCTAATATCCTGATCAAGTCCGAGGAAGAATTATATATACAAAAGGATGATAAGGAAAAGAAGTCGCCTCTTGGTTATTTCCAGCCATTGTTGAAAATAGTGTCATTTATTCACTAGTTAGCCGGTCACACTTTTACGAAAGGTATGTTGATGATATTTATCATATGTGGTGAAGGACTGGACTTGAAAAATTTTCTCACGACTTCATTGCTACTTATTTATCTAAAAGTTCATACTTGAGCATGAAACAAATTCAATGTTCCGATTTCTGGATGTAGTGCTTACAAGAAAATCGGCTAATTCTGTCCAGATATGAAAGTGCAGAAAGTCAATTTGGGTTGAAACGTTTATCGGCTTCCATAGAAATGTTATGTTTAACGAAATGACTTTGTCAGTACGTGATGTTCAGGGATTTGGAAGGTCTACTCTGAAAACACACTTGACAGTGATTTAAGATTTCTGCCTAACATCCTACTAGAAAACGGATATTCGAGTAGGTTAATTGGATCTAACACGCAAGAAAATCCATAAATTTAAAAATTACAGACCGTTCCAAAGTACATTGGCTGCACACTGCCTCAAGTCTGTGAATGCATTAGGGAGGATTGTCCAGCTTGATTATTCAGAGTGGAAAGAAGGAATATCAATAGTTCTGTTAATTATTTGGCGTCATTGCCGAATATCCCGTGCCTCCCAATATTCCCTTCAGAACAGAGTGGCTCCCTTCGGTTCTAAGGAGCTTTGAGTGGGTCAATTAAACAGAGACAAATCAGACCTGATCTTTATGTCCAAAAACGTTTTATTCTACCCTTAGACGTCATACTAATTACCTAAACCCATCGGCTTATAACAGACTGTTATTTGCTTCCAATGCTCATGAAAATGATTGTGCGACGTTAGTAACTTAAAGCGTTAGACTGAAAATTTCTTTACTGCTACGGTTTTGTGCTGAGGCCCGTACACAGAATGAGAAATATAGCGTTATCTACTAGAAATAACTTAGTTATATTTTGTCAGCACTAAGAGAAGTTCTTTTCCTCTCTGTTCATGAACCAGCTTTTCGAAAGCACCTTCAACAGCAGATTGTACGAATGCTAAAGGCTGTAGCTAGTACATACCCATGAAGTTTTTTAGAATAGATACAGGTTTACTACAAAAATGGTACCGACACCCACTGAGTGTAAAGTGAATAAGGTTGTTAGGTAGTCATAAGGAATACCCAGTGATAGTAGGTTGTGATCATGATTGTTTGTCAGTGACTGCGTAATGCAGGCAACACAGGCAAATGTTTGTCTACCTGTTGGTGATTAGGTACTGTAGCTGAAGGCTGTAGTGTTGAGCTTAGAATGCAACAATAAACTTGCTGTTAAAAGGATCCGGGATAAAGTGAAATACCTGTTCTTCTAACATCCAGTACTTTTCATATGACATATCTAGGCTAAATGGCTGAGCTATTTATTAGAGGTCATGACAAAAAAATGTTTGCTCTATCACTCCGATATTCATGAAGTAGAGGTATCGTAGCTACTGACGGTAGCAGTGCAGACTGGTTAGTTAGGTCCAGGATTTCAGTAAACCTCTTATTCTCAAGAAGTTCTGCAACTATCGGTCTTCTAGTGTTTCATTAATTCAACTGAAAGACAATTTTTATGTACACAGAAAACTGATCATGGGACCTTTATCGATGTTTGCGTAAGAATGTTTACAAAATTTGCCACAATCATTTTAAATAGCATACTGAGATTTTAACTTAGCTGCGTACTAATTCATAAATGTATAGCTAGATCGAAGATAATGAAGACCTTAGGGTAATGTAGATGTTAAGAGGTGGACAGAAACTACTTTCAAATAAAATATATGACGCATCCTGTTGCGTTATAGTTTCAGTGAATATTAGACATACAACTGGCAATCTAGTCAGAAAATTTAACTGATGTCAAGTATAAGCTACAACTTATGTATCTGGAAGAACACAATATTCAAAAGACAAATGGTCTTGCTATTTTTGCTGCATAATAACTACGTTATTTGTATGAATTTATTACCGGCGACACGGTCCAGCAACTTCAGATAACGTCGTATAACACTCAGGATGAACAGAAGATGATAATGATAACTGTTGTTATACAAACATACATTAGTGATGATGATGATGCTTGGAAAATTAGTAAGGTAATCTAGGTCTAATTGAAAACTGAAACGGATCACTGCGGATGCAGACCACTTCATGAATCTGGTTCCCCTCAGTCTATTACACTGATATCAATTTTCTGTTTTGTGGAATTTTCGGATAGTGCCACCAGTGACCGTAAAACTATAATTTCCTAAATAAGTGTATAATTATGAAACAGTTATACAATATTTTATTTTTACGACGTTGTTTACAAGCTCCCGGTGTTTTAAGATTATTATCGCTACACAAATAAATAATATCCTGCGTTAAAATTAGTAAACATTTAATCATACTTGTCACATTTACCTTACGACAGTAATAGTAATACATTAGGGTTCATTTACCAATTAATACTCCACCTGGAATCAAAGAAAATTTTCAGCAGGTATCAGAGAAAAATAGCATCAGCACATACGTGTATAATATTTTACTAGTCAAATTAAAATTATCCAAATACCCCAGTTCACTTAGAGTTGTTTTTAACTACTCATAGCGTTTAGTAGTATACCTCGTCAGTTGCTGAAACTTTTATGTGATCCATAACTTTTTTGACATTGTCTGAGTCGCTTCAAAAGGAAACCCTGTTGATACTACAATTGGACAGTTGACTAAGAACTTGGGTGCATGAAATGTTGGTATAAACCATGTAATCTGTGAATAATTTGTAAGGCCATTTACGATATAACTGTCCGTTCAAGTCAACCAGGTAGATTCACGTGATCTCAGCAACTCTGTTGTATGTAATAAGTTAATGGCGACCCAGCACGTTCAGTTCACAAATGATCTAAATAGTAGTCCCACATATGGATCACTTTTAATTGGCTAACGAAATCTCTATATCAGTATAATAGGATTCTAACTTCACGGGTTGGTCACTAGAAAGGGAAGATAGTTTTATTCTCAGCCTGATATCATTCAAAATCGAGTGAAAATCTTGGACCGTCAATCTGCTGGTCCATCATCACCACATAATTCGTGATTCATTCAGTGCAAACACCTAAAGCATTTTCATACTTCACGTGAAATAAATTAGTATTTGTAGTCCTGGCGTTGGTGCTTCAAAGTCCGTCAATCCTTAAAAACTAGCAACAGAAATATAATTATCCCCCCCCCCCTATGTGGAGTGAAATAAACGTCTCCTGTGTTGGGAATAAGTCCACTCATTTATATTATTGGAACAGATGAACACTTCCGAACATGTTGGTGAAATAAATAGCATTCATTCCGTCCTACTTATGGACTCGAATAACGCAATCAGAACACCGTTTGGAGGATATGACAACGTCATTTATTTCATAGGGTTTTCCTCAGTTGCATACAGCCTTAATAAATAGGTAAATAATCGCTACAAAAAAATTAACATATTTAATACATAAGATCCAGGTTATTGTCTTGAATGTCACGAGAACACAATAATTCAGGACGAAAAGAAAGTTCAGCTAAGAAATTCAGTCAAACTGCATCAGGGTTATGTGGGGTAAAGGGAAGAATGTTTACGAATTAATGGGATACGATTAGAAGTAAGCAGAAGTAGTTGCGTAATCGCATGAAAATATGTCAACAGGATGATAGGTAGGCTAGAAAAAACTACTCTAATAATAAGAAATACGGTAGAAACGAAATTCCAATTAATTTGAATATGAATACGAATAAGAACGAAATAAATGTATGAGGAGTATTTCGGGAAAAATGGGAGACTGAAAAGCCATTAGTAACTAGGACGAAATTGAACTGGTAATTGTCTCCGGTTGAACTCATCGGATGGTGACGGCTTTGGTAGTTAGAAGTAGGTGAGAGGTCTTTTGTTTTTTAAATACTATGAAGAATTTCATCACATCTACCTGATGACCGCTAAATGAGGATATATCTGTGAGACTTAGATTCTTTAACATTTACTCGACAGTCCTGGTGAACAAGCAGCTCTCTGTTCTTCCTACTTACTTTCTACCACATGTACATGTGAACTGAGAAATACAGTCTCGGTTTGTCCAATTTCCACTGTTACTGCACATTTTGTTTGATATAGAGAGGCAAGTCTCGCAACCTGATAGGTACTGAACAGCGCCCTCCTGATTCGTCCATGAATTCTTGTCATAGCATCATCTCCTTCGAAAACCTGGAATCAACAATTTTTGTGGGAAATAGCAATTGGAAGAAGTAAGACATAGGTTTGGGAAGCCAGACATAAAGTCAGAAGTTTTGGCTCAAAAAGTTGGTTGTTTTAAACTTGCCACGATGACAAATCAAACTTAATTTCACTGGAAAATTTCTCTTATTCCTTACTATTGAACACATAGATTCGTATCTGATGTGAGAGTAACAAACGAAGTAGCATAGTGATATCTATATTTCGCATTCGGACTAGTACAACAGAGTGGATTACATATAAATATATCTATCTTCATTCAAGTTACGTGATTTTACATATTATTCCGGCTTGATGGTTTCATAATTGTAGTGATCATTAATGTGTTGATTGGTTTGTCAGTCATTATAGTTTAACTCATACATCTATAGGTGTATTTCATGGTACTTTGTATCTCAGTGTACAAATGTCAACACATGTGCGCGCGTACACACATAGACACATGGGCACACGTATAATAGTCTGTAAGCACTCACATGTAGAAATGTGTAGACATTTGTTTTTATGTAAGTTTGTATAGGTGTGTTGATACACACATCACTTAAATGATCTCATTAAGGCAAAACAAGATTATTGTTCGGTATGTAATTGACACAGTGAAATCATCGCCTACAGGATGTCAACATCATCGTATAGCAAAATGGGTAGGAAGACAGGCGAATCAACTTCTACAAATTCAAGTCATCGGATTAAATCCTCATCGTCTTCAGGGGACTCAAGTGAGACACCAAAACCACACGGGATATATCGATTCGTAAGTGTGACATTGGAAAGTACGTATATTTTACACGTGTGTGTACTATAACAGCTACGAAGACATCACTCATCCAATAGTCGCCATCGTCCAAACTACGACAATAAGAAAGGCAAGTAATTCGTAGATTACTTATTGATGTTATGTATCTATGTTCCATAAAACACAATAGATTCTTTTATTTGGTGTATATATATGACATACTGACCATAGACTACCTCAGAGCTACCATCCTCAGCTTTAGTCCACAGGCTTTTTCAGAGAGGCAGTTTGAGGCAACAAACAACTAGTGGTGCCCACCATGAATAACTACTATCCCCATCTTTGTCTAACTTCTTTATGGACGTAACGGATAAAGTAATCGCGTATACATATACCTCCTCAAGGATTGATTTACTGCACGGTGGGTACCTGAATAACTCAGAGTATGTAGACGAACTGGCTTTGCTAGGTAAAGACACCAACTAAACGCAATCTTTTGAAATCCTGGAGTGACAGTTTGGATATATTTGGCATGAATTGTCTACCTATCAAATGTAAGTTGATTTTTCATAAATGGTCTTCATCGACTGTTGGCCTGAGTAAGTACAAGGAGTGAAATGGTAATTCTCGTTGACCTATTTACTGACTTTGTGAGTTGCATTAGACCTAACAGGTTGTTCAGTGATATGATTTTTGTTCCAATACGAAATATTCGTTTATTCTAGCATCTGAAGGATACCCGGCTAGAAATCAATGGACAAGTGTACTACACAGAAATTTGCTGATTCAGATTGTATGGTTATAAGACATGATTATTGAAAGTAGAAGACATGAGGAGGCTACACTAGCATCTTCGTTTCATTATTATCATGGGGTGAAATAATCATGTGATCATTGTTGAGGGTAGGCGTAGAGCATGTCTGGTATGCATTTCGTATCTGTAACAATATGTTCAAGGACTAGTCTTTTGAAAATACTCCCAATTTAGTGAAAGGATGTGAAGCAGTGGCATGCGTCAACCACTTCAATAACATAGGACGTTGGATCAGCCCGAACGCGTTGATTGTTGACGAAATCTCATTTGGAATGCAGAAGGATCGTTTGACATTTTCCAGCTGGCATCACCTCTGACACCGATGAGATATTCGACTAAATATCAAAGGACGAGTATCTGCACTTTAGCTAGTTATATCTTGTCACACAGCTATGAGACGTGGACATAAAGCTGTTGCAGGGTTCTGATTACAAACGATTTCGTAACATTGCTCATGTTCGGTGGAATCACCGTGTCAGCCATGTTGAAGTCATGCAAAGGGTACTTGGCAAGACAAGCAAGTCTATCGATGAACCTTAGTCCAATGAAATGGCTTGGACATGTGCTAGACATCCCAAGCCACCACCTACTTCAACTTGCGATTAAGGAGGAGATTAGATTCGATTGGAAGAGGGTTCGTTCAGAGGGTTCAGAGCACAACGTGAAGTTGCTGACCGTTGGTTTAAACTGTATGGATAGATGTAGACTTCCTGGCTAGCTGGGTCACCTGCGTGGATAGGAATCAGTGGTTGAGAATTCTTGGTGACATGGCTAAAAACGGATCCCAGTGGCGCAAATATATTCACTCTCTGACATCTTCTAAAGCTTGAAAATTTTCACTAACCTTTATCTTCAAATGGTTTTTGTCTTACACTACTTTGTCTACCTTAGTATCACTGTTTTTCTATCCACCTGTTCATTGTGTACTACTGTGAAGTGTGGCCACTTAAGCTGATGCACCAGTATGTGAGGCTTTAAGATGATTTCTTCAGTCACTTAGTCAGGAAGTGGTTCAATTATGTTTTATCTATGTCTCGTTACCACCCATATAAATACTCGTGTTAGCTGAAGTAAGAGTTAGTTGGAAGAAAGTTACAGGTTCCCAGACCAAGATATGTTGCCAGTATATAAATTCTTCAACTATTCTTTTGTGCTATATGCGTAGATGTAGCCTATCTGACTGGGGTTCCTGATATAGATGGTTTGCCACTTTTGGTAATGTAGCTTAAAAACCAATCACAATGAAGCTGATGTACATAATTTTGGTGTTTCCAAACTTTTGGACATTTTAAGCCTTCTTTCATTTGCTTTTTTTCGCATACACTTTCTTTTACTTCAGGTTTTCTTTTGTGTCATATCACTTTGTATGCTACCGTGAGGCCTGATAACCTGAAATAATGCACTTCTAAGCTATATTCTAGACTATTTTGTCTGTCTATCAGATCAGAATTAAACCAGGAAGTACTGCACTAAAATACAGAATCAAATTAAATGTAAATTTTTTAAGTAAACTCTTTCGCATAAATATTTCTGTCAGTTCAGAAATCCATAGCCTTTAGGCTATAAGTGACTTCAGAGCTCCTTTCCGTGTTTGTTGGTTGAAGAAAATTTTGAGGTCATTTCATCTGATAACCTATAGGGCAACCTGAATAGTTGCACCGCTTGCGTCGTCGAACATATTGAGCATTTAATGTTGTTTTAATTGCATACTATAGCGTGATGAAAACAGTAATGTCTTAAGTTTAGGTAAGTTTAGTCTTAATTAGCGTTTTGAACATACTTTTCGAAATTAGTAGGATTAAATGCTACGTGCTTCACAGAATAGGGCATGGGATCAGCAACATGCAAATTCCTGTCATTGTACAGTACATAAATTCTGAATACGGCCTAGCGAACAGTAATACTTTATAATCCTTAGAGGACTGTTCATCGATAATTACGCTCACCTGTTATTTAACATTGTTTCAGTCTTGCATAGGATTCTATTTTATTCTGTTTATTGGAAATGTCACACAATGAAACAGTATCATTTACTGGTTAGAGTTTCCGGTACAATTTACCGTCCATGTTCACATCAAGTAACTTCACAACTTTGAGCCATAACTCACTTACTTCTGAGTTCCTCACCTTCTCTGTGACGAAGGGAGTATAATTTTCCATATATTTGAGACAGGTGCAGAGTTGTTTCGATTACACGTATTTCGGGTTGATTCGACAAACAAAGATTCGGTTATCAATCTCTCCCCCCACCCAACTAAGTTAGCTTTTAATACTGTCACACTATCTCACCCTTAGTTATAGCCGAGCATTTTTCTAAATTTCTTATCTTATTAAGATCTACTAATCTTGATTTAAGTTGGGACTGACAACAGTTGGAGGAACATTGGAAACCTGAGAGCACTGGACAACTGTTTCGTTCTAGTACGGGACTCCTCAACAATGCGCACGTATGATCCCTTCAGGAGTTGAACCTAAACGCTCTGGTTGTGATCTCGGGCAGGGTCACATGTATGCACTATGGAGGAGTCTCATACTAGAACGAAACAGCTGTCCAGTGCTCCCAGGTTCCCAATGTTCCTCCAACTTTTGTCAGTCCATGATGAATTCCAACTTAATTTCCAGTCTTCTAACTGAGCACTTGACTGTTATACCAACTTCTGCATTCAGCTTCCGTTATCTGCAGATATCTCTGTCGGTGTTTGTCGCTTATTACAAACTTTTCCCTCATGGTCGAAAAATCCGTTTCCTCGTATTTCTGAATTCGAGTTCAAATTGGTTTCTTGTCCGATAGGACACTATGCATTTCAGAAACCTTTAGTCTGTTAACTTGATGTACAAGGAGTATGGCTAGACGATGCACAATAGGTGGATATGTATATACTGGGTCAGAAACTAATAGATAAATTACTAACGTGTACAAATTCATTAGTCTTTTTAGTTTCTATGAATTTCCCGTAAGTTTACACTTCTAAGCTACTTTTGTGTGTTCTACATTCTTTCTACACACGCCTTGGTCAGGTCTTCCAGAAAGTGTATCTTCAGTTAAATATAAACTAATCCTTTCTTGGAGATTTCGACCACCATCATTCAGTGTTGAAGTTAAAGACTTTATCATTAAGCTATTCCGATCAAAATAAACCTCTCCAGGGGTTGATTATATGAGAGGAACGACAATTAGATGATAAAGCTGGTAGTAAGAAACCATTCAGGTTTAAAAGATGTAAGTCATTTGCAAATTAGCCTCAAACACCTTATAATAATATTCCTTAAGCCTAAAACTTTAGAGGTGATAGGCCTACAGTTTTATCTATTTCATCGCATTTACTTTTCGCTTATTATTTCTAGAATTCTACAGATTTGTTAAACAGCACAGCAGGCTTACCCACCACCATTAACACTATTCTTACACACTCTTATTGTAGTCAGAGAGAGGGAGAGTTCAAACTCTGTTGATTGCATAAGAATACTTCTTATTTAGAACAAACTAATAGTTGTCAGGCATCACATTCATTTTTTAATGAAAGCAATATTCATTTGGATGTTTGAGTGGTTGGACTTATTTTACTATGGTATTCTTCAAGGAGTGGTATCACTCGGAAACCTGAATATGCTTGGTTGGAATGTCGGTGAGGTCATGGGTATGCACTGCTGAGGTCCCCCATAATAGGACGAAACAGATGCTTACTGCTCAAAGCTTCCCAGTGGTTATGATATCAGTCCGTGATTAATACCATCTAGAAAACAATTCTATCTTCTAGTTGAAAATGATCAGTGAGCTTTTACCACTAGATACACTCAGTGTAGATAAACATACTTCAACAGAGACAAAAAGTAAACCACATTTTAACAGCTCGTATTCAAAAAAATTCCATTTTGTTGGTCAGTTTACATGCAACTGATGAATTTCAAGCGGGATCGCACCACTGTTTCTTCCCAGTTTCAGACGTTTCAGAAGCCTGGGATCATTAGGTTCTGTGACGACCTAATTGATGTTTAGTGCGTGATCTAAAACATGCTGTCACCAGTTGCTACCGGTGAAAGTTCTAAACTGTTCCAAACGAAGTAGATAATCATTGATTCCTAGTATTTAGTGACTTCTGTTTGATGTCACTGGGTAGAGAAAACTGAACTGGAATTATTTTGAACTATCATATGTTCATGATATAAACACAAACTTACGTCACTTCGAATGTATTAAATGATCAGATATTTTTTTGGTGTTTAATTGCTTAACCTCTGAATACTGAAAGTCCTTTGTGCACTCCCACTCCGCAGTAAAATACTTTTGTTTTAAAAATCTGCTAACTTAAAACTTC